ATTGCACATTTACATAGCAATTACATCTGTGTGAGTGTATGTATGCCTATGCGCATCTATTCGTGTCTGTGTAAACATGTTAGCAGTCAACCAAAGCATCAGCATCAACAACAGCTGCGGGCAGCGCCTGGGCAGCAAATACATACATATATTTATGGCTATAACTTCTTAAATCGGTCTATCATAGTGAAACTTGGCATACGGACACAATATCACTAACTGGGGGTATTTACAAAATTTGAATTCAAAATTCCAAGAATTACGGGAGTTACGATTTTCGCGTGAGAGGGGGGGGGGGGGAATTCCAAAATACACATTTTCTGCGTATTCACATAAGGCATCTTTGGTGTTCCTAGGTCTTACAGTCTCCGAGATATAGGCGATGATACGAATGGAAAATCGAGAAAAATCAAAAAAATAAAAAAATAAAGCAAACTGCGGATCCGGAAACCCGGATCATACAGCTAAAGCCGACCGGGATGTCGCGTAATACAGTGTGTATACCCTGTAACCAAGGGGTGAGAAGGTCATATGCAGCTGTACATACTTGTAGCTAAGAGCGAATGTACAAGTATATACATATGTGTGTATGTATGTATGAATGACTAATTGTGTGTTTACAGCTGAAAAGAATAAGAGGAAGAATAACCAAACATGGTATTCGGTAGGTATTTGTTGCTGTTTCAACAGTACCATATCAGCAAGTGAGATAACGACAACGGGAACTAGTATGTAAGTATGTACTCGTATGTACATATGTACAAACATATGTGCATATGAACGTGTATGCAGTTCACAATCGCAGTCGTCTTGTGATTTAAAAGTCGCAGCCATTGCTGTTGCCACCGCGGCAGAAAAATCACAATTTCCCTCAACACTACGAGGGACGTGCACCTTCATGGTACCTGTTGACGTTGGCGTGCCATACACGTACATACATACATACGTACATATGTACATACATATGTATGTATGTATAATTGCAAAATAGTGGTATACAAAGAAATCGTTAAGTTGCCATGCACTTGCGGCTGTCAGCTAAACATGCAAACATTATTGTACTCAAATTTGTTTAATTAGGAGCATTTATTCAAAATGGGCTGGCTAGCTGCTTGGATGGAAGGCGACAAGCCAAAACAGCTGGGCGCGCGCCTAACGCATCGGAGCTAGTAAGAATCTCAAAGCGTCTGCGGCAGCCGCGTCTGCTAGCCACATCTCGAACGGCATCCAAATAGAAATTTGAAAATTGTTGCTGTTGCATTTAGATAAATGTGGCATTCTAAGTGAGTTCAAATTGTGAACAAATCGTACAAGTATATGTGTTATAATTTACATATGTATGTACATATACATATATAAATAAATGTATATAGGTTAGGTACACATACATACATACTTGTATGTGTATGTATATTTGCTCGTACCTAGACATCGCCACCATCGAATGTTTATTGGCAGAGAATGCTGGGATGTGGTCGTCCCATCATATTGCATGCCGTGCCGATCACTTGCCCACTAGATGACAATCTATTTTGAGTGTCACTACTTGGTCGATCACCACTTGAGGTCGGGGAGGGGTACACTGCTCTTTTTCTTTCGGTGCTATTGGCTTTTGACTTTGAAACTGAGACAGCGGCGACTGTAGCAAGTGAGACGACCGCGGCAGGCGACTGCTTCCGGTTTTTCCCAAAAGCAATACCAGAAAGATTAGTTGCCAACGCGCCACTCGTCGTTTATGGGGCTCTGATGCGTTCAACCATTTTATTTTCTATGTGCTATGCTCTAGGTAGTGTGCCATGTGCGCCATTGTAGTATGCATATACATACATTCTTGTATGTACTTATAAGTACATACTTTACAAGTATGTGTATACAATGTTCATATGAAAGTTAACTCAGAAACAAATCAAGCATTTCCTTATAATCTCAAAAGGTTTTAAGGATATCCCAAGAAGCCCGAGGTTACATAACAGGCATAAAAGGCGTAGTGAGTCCCATATAGCCACGAATAATTGTAGATGTGTGTCCTCCTGTCCGTCCATATACACATCAAAAACTGTGAAACTATAGAAGCGAGGATTTCGATAACAGGCGCTGGACATTTTCTTACGCAGTCCAAAGGTGATTTTGGCTATGTAGACTCATAGACATCTTAAGTCATCTTAAGCTTTCCATATGTTATAGACCAACCATGAACTATTTATTTACCAATACTCCTGTCTAGATGCACAGCTGACTTCCCTTCGCACAACCGTATTCGGGATTTGTATTCTCAGTATAATGCAGAGTTCATTACAATCTCCCCGTTTTAACCATCTCCGTGGAAATCGATGACCACAATTGACTATAAGTTGGGTCACTCCTTTCTTTGGCTAATTAATTATTGCAGCTCCGGCATGAGATATTCATTATCTACTAGTTCATATTAGTCTTCCTTTATATATTAACGTCTTTAACCACATTTGGTATCGAATGTGTGTCATCTGTTTAAATGTTTCCCATTTGGGTTCGATGCAGTTTACGCTAATTTCGTGTTGTATATACATATGTACAAGTATGTATGTATATGTAATTGCATATTGTTGATTTTTTAAATAAAATTATTTACTGACTGATTGGTGATTGGTGATTTGGTGTACTCTTGGTACACTCTAAGAAATAACACAAAATAGACTGCAAGGTCGGTTTTCGTTGGGGCTGGGGTTCTCCCTTGGAGAAATTTTAACTCGAAAAGTTGTGTCCAATCAACGCCCAACCCACATGGTAAGAGCTAGAAAGCTAATATTAAGGCTCTTTTTTGACGTATAGGTTACCTCTAAACTTGATTTGTATACTCTAAGAAGTACAAATTAAGCTGCGTAATAGGCTTATGTACTCTGAACCTGAACTGTGCAATGGTATATTAGGCAGACAGAAGGAGCCGTGGCAGACAACACAAAGTATAGTATGATTACCATGACAAGACGAGTCGATTTAGCCCTGTCTCTCCGTTCGTAAGAACTACTAGATCTCAAGGACTGTTATAAGACCTAGAGACACAACATTTTCCACACAGTTGTCCAATATGTGTACGCTGTGCAAGTTTATTATACTCTGTACAATGTACAAGGGTATATTCGGTTTTCGGGAGGTGAAAAATGTAACAAACAGAAGGAGGCGTGGCAGACCCCACAAAATACATATGGATGTTCCTAATCAGCATGACAAGACGAGAAAACGAGACTATAAGACCTAAAACACAAAATTTTTTATTTTGGAGCTAGAGACACTACATTTTAGCCCAAGATGCCATTTATTAGTCCGCAAGTACACGTGTCCGTACTTCAAAATTTTCCGTCTTCCCCCAAACCCCCGATATTAGTGAATTTCCATAACTCCCTTAATTCTTGAAACTTTGAAATCGAATTTGGTAATTACATCCTGTTAGTGCTTTTAATCTTGTTAAGTTTCATCATGATAGGTCAATTCAAAGGAAAGTTATAGCCGTAAGGCTTTTCTCTGCTCAAGCTCTGTCCGCAGCTGATGTTAGTATTGCTGTTTCGACTGAACTCTATACTGCGCACAAGCTCACACACAGACACGCATAGACAAAGGAACGGAGTATTTCCCAAGTCGTCGCACCAGACTTAAGCTTTTTCACTTGTTTGAAAATTGAATATTGAATACAAAAGAAGAAAATATTTTAAAATATCTCGATGTATAGTATATAAATGTGTATAGTATATAATTGTGTATAGTATATAAATGTTCCAGCTTACAATACATAGCAAAGAAGTTTGCAACTCGGTGGTTCCTAGAGAACAGTATAAAATAAGCTCGTATTGCCGGGATATTAAATATTGTTATCCAGTTGGGTGAATGTGGGATCAACCGCCTCCGACATCAAGGCGTTCACACAGACACTTTGCACAATCCAAATTTTTCAAATATTCAAATTAATTTGTATACTTTCAACACACTAAGCTAGTACACCCTTTTCCCTTTGGTTGCAGGGTATAAACATATAACACGTACATACTTGTAGATTCGCACAATTCCAATAGAATGCATTTGCAACAATATTGTGTCTAAATGTGACTACTTGTATGTTATCGTGTATGTGTGAGTACAGAGTTGAGCCAAAACAACAACAACAGGAGCTGCGGGCAGAGCATGGGCCGAGAGTACACTTTTGGCTATAACTTCCTATCCTATCATGATGAAACTTAACATGAGGACACATAAGCACTAACTAGATGTAAAATTAAGGCATTATATGGGAACTTGGGCTTGGTGTCCCTAGCTATTTCGACTAAAATGTTATACATAGGTGTTCTTACAAACTGATATGAATGTATCGATATGTCTCGTCATGCTAATCAATTATGTATGTACCAATGATATGGAGTCTGCATGCCTCCGTTTGCCTGTTACATAAATATTTTATTTCAATAAAACCCACGTTCCCATCCCTTTATACTTCGCTTAATCTGGTCGATTTTAAAAACAAGCAAGTTCTTTGCAAAATGATTTTGTAAATACTTTGGAATATTACATATTTGGAATGGAATTCTTTTAAAAACTAAAAACATAAATGATTATTAAATGATTATTTCCTAAGTATACATAGATATACACACACACATACATACATACATACATACATATATATAAGCTTCAAGATAAAGATCAACTGTGTATATGTGGGTGTTTTTATCCAATCTATCTAATATTAATTTGTGTGCTCGTACAAAAGTTAATCGAAATTGTTTCCTTCGGTTATAAAACTTTCCCATTCCTCACACAATTGTGCATGATTTAGCTGAGTGTACCTGCTTCTTGTATACTCTCTCCCTCTCTCTCTTTCTCTCTCAGTGGTTAGATCGCGTACGTGTGCGTTGTGTGTGTGTGTATGTGTTAGCCAGCTATAAAAGCTCATCGCATTCGCTTGTGATGCTCATTTTGGTTCGAACGACCAAACGGCGCGCAAAAAGAGAAAAGTTGAAAGCAAAGGGAATACATACTTTTTCAGTTGATTTTTTTTCCCAAATATTTTCAAAGTGTTAAAAGTGTATTACAAAAGCAAAACGAAACTATATCAAACAAAAAAATACAAGCTCAAGCAAAAATTTGAACGAAAAAATAACAAAAAGCTCATATCAATTGTGAGTAAAGTTCGAAAATTGAAAAAAAAAAAAATTGGTATAGAATGTGAAACTGTTGGCGAAAGGTCAGGCATCCTGGCAGCCCTTACCATCTGGGCCTCCTCCAACTATTGGATGAGTGTGAGCCACCTGTGGATGTGGTTTCTCGTGTGTTTCTCGTAGCGTCAAGATACTAGGGCGTGTATAAAGTGTGACTTGACACACAAAATGATTTTCTTGCTGGGTAAGGGAAACGAACAAGATAATCAACTTGTCATAAAAAGAAAACACGCTGCGCAACGCACATACAAGTAAATGAAAATGTTCGAGATTGCTGGGCAAGAAATGCAGCAACGGCTACGGCGGCGGCGGCGGCGGCAAGCGCAGAAGTTTTCACATTTGTAACCAACTTGAAACGGGAAAACGGCTAATACTCGTCTGCAGCCAGAAAAGTCCGGTTGTATGTTTGAGTTTACGTTTTAATTCGGGGTCAGGTTCGAGCTTGGACTTGCGTGCAAATGCGCATGCGCGTGTGCAAAGTTGAAAGCTCAGCCTTAACGGTAGTCTGTTTTTATTACGACGTATGTTTCCCATTTTTCCTCAACTGGCGCAACTATTTTTCTTCTGTTTGTGTTTTTTTCTTTCTTGTTTCTGCATATTTTAAGCTACTTCTCCTTTTTTTCTCATCATTTTGACCGCCTTTATTAATGAGTGTCGCTTAGGCGTTGTTTTGTTGGTCTTGTTTTGGAGTTAGCCGCGAGTCATAAAAGAAATGGTAAAATGAGCCTCAATGGGTTGGGAAGCAAAGTCCATTATAGACGGCGATCCATGCAAGACAAATTTCTTTGTTATAATGTTTTCATAACCTCTACTTTTTGCAATGTTTCGCACACCTAATTCGATTTTATCCACCTCTCTCTTATTGTCATTGTTTTCTTTCAAGTTGCAGATTGCTTCCGACACTGACCCCGCCACAAGTACAAACACAAAAGTTTGGCAAAAGTGTGACGAAAGTCGGAGTTACCAAAGGTTTAACAGTTACGCTCCATTATTAAAGTATACAACTAATACAAAACTGCAAAATCCAAATAAAATGACAGACGTTTCGCATGAGTTGGGCTCCCTCCGATTTGTTGTGGTAAGTAGCGAATACCTCCCCATCTGATAAGCAGTTGGGAGTATGAGTTTGAGGTTTGGCCAAAGCTGCAGGCAGCAACATAATTTTACAAAAAGATACATCATTCTTCCTATACATTCATTGTCATAATATTGATACTCAACTAAAATTAATACAAGTGATAGTGTTTTTTTTTTGGGGTATGCTCTTAATCGGTTCTGACCTGGCGCCTACCCCTATCTATCTAGCTTGAGGTCACCGACCTCTTTGCTTGTACATACATACATCGCATGTTACATATATATTTATGCATATACTATTTATGCATATAAAATGAAAATTTATTTTTAAATGTCAAAATAATTTTAATTTATGCAAAATTTATATTAAAATGTATAAAAGATTAAAATTATCAAACTAATAACTTCAAAATACAATCAGTATATACTTAGTATGCGAAAATATGTTTATAAATTTTGAATGTATGTATATACAAATATATATATCTATATGTTCATATCCCTATATAATGTTACCAAGAAAGGCAGAGAAAAGTTCAGTTAATTAAGTTTGATTAACTTGGTCGCTCAAAAAATAGTAGATAGGCTATTATAAAAATCACTGTCAGGGGCGTTACAGAAATATCTGCCAACCAAATTACGACCGAAAACCAATTCTCAGTCTCACAAAAATCTCTTTTAGTTGACCTCAACTCTCACACCTTTTAGCAAGATATTTAGTTAAAAACACTTATTCTTTTCCCACATAAAAACATCACTTTTTCCACATACTTGTATAAACAATCCGACCAGTGACCTGCATTACAAATATTTTTCATTTCACCATTTTATACTCTGTACATAAAATGTACAAGAGTATATTAGGTTTGCGGGAGCTGAAAATCTGACAGGCAGAAGGAGGCGTGGCAGACCCCACAAAGTATATATATTCTTGATCAGCATGACGAGACGAGTCGATCAAGCCCTGTCTATCTGTCCGTATGAACACCTGGATCTCAGAGACTATGTTATGTGTGTACGCTGTGCAAGTTTGTTGAATTTTTTTGGATTCGCCCCCCCACTTCCCCCCTTATGGGGGTTTTCCCGATTTTCCGTTCGTATAATCGCCTATATCTCGGTGACTATAAGACCTAGGGACACCAAATTTCAGTCCAAGATGCCTTATGTGAATACGCAGAAAATGTGTATTTTGGAATTTCCCTCCCTCCCCCTCTCCCCCCCCCAAATCGTAACTCCCGTAATTCTTGGAATTTTGAACTCATTTGAAATTTGGGAAATACCCCCAATTAGTCATTATGGGTCCGTATGCCAAGATTCACTATGATAGACCGCTTTAACAAATCGATCAATTTTTTTTTTAAATTCTCTTAATTTTTTTAATTTCTATAATTATTGTAAACATAAGTCCAGAGTATTTCAAAGTCAGGACACCCGACTTTAGCTTTTTTACTTGTTTTAAATTAGATTATTACTAAATCTATAGTTAAAACACTAGTTATCATACACAGAAGCAAAAACAACAGCACAATTAAATTGCCAACATAGTCTTGATTCAACATTAAATACTTGTATTTAGAACTTTGTATTTTGCTGAGTTTAATATTACAAAAAAATTGGGCCAAAAAATTAAACTTTTCATTAAATAATGCACGATGCATTTAAAAAATAATTTATGCATATGATCAATGAAAAAACTTCAACAAATCCAACTTAGTTCCATTCTAAGGCGAAAAAGTGCGTTATAATAATGAACGTGTGGTCGACTTTGTATGGAACAATTTTTTGTAGGGGGAGCAACCCCCCTACGCCCTACTTATGTATTGAATATTTTCTATTTAATTTAATTTTTTAGATTTATTTATTTATTTTACATTTTTTCTTTTTGTGGAAGTATTTAAAAGTTGAGTCCGCTCCACTCTAGCATACCTTTAAATTGAATCAAATTAATCAAATAAAAAAATACACTTACAGTCCTCATCTTCAATAAAATACGTTTACCCTCAATGTTGTGTCTTTGCGTATGGACAGACAGATGGACGGACAGACCGACGAGCAGACGGAGTCGACTCGTCTTGTCATACTGATGAGCAATATAGTATATGTATATACAAATGTACTTTGTTGCGTCTGCCACGCCTCCTTCGGTGTGGCATGTTAGCGGGTCACAAATACTGCGCATAACAGGGCTGGCATGTGCATTGCATTGCTTGGCGGAAAATAACTTTGAAATTTATGTTGATGTTACTCATGAGTTAGGTCTTTGCAGTTGAATTCTTTAGGGAGTTCTTCACCCTATTTTTAGTAAAGTATGTAGCTAGTTGACTAAAAATACAAACACGAAATGAAAAGTAATGCAGTATGTGTGTACGCAGTACGAGTTTGTTTCATTTTTTAGATACATTCACCCACTCCCCCTTCTTCAGCTTTTCCACTTGTTTGTTTCTTAATTTAACGAATTTGTTTGCACTAAAAACTAGAAAACTATAATTGGGTCGTTGCCCAAATTTGAGCAAAGTTTATGAATTTGTTCCACATTTATGGAAATCATCCCTATTTTAAAAATGTTAGGAGTTATTTCCTTACAATATAACAGATTTAAATACCTTAACAAATGTATTTCTCTGCGTTATTGATAATCTGGTCATTTCTAGTAAAAGTATACAATAATAATGAAGCTTTTTATCCAACAGACTCAACAGAGGGATAACTTGGTCCTAACTTTAACCCTAATTTAATTGGGGAAGCGACATAAGCTTCGCAGATAACTAACATACATACATACAAGTATGTATGAACGAGTAAGATGAGAATATGTTTCTTCCTAGATGTCCCTTCTTTTAATTTCTGATCAAACAAAGCCCGAAATCGTTTAATTTCCAGATATTTTCAAAATATACGCGTTTCCCTACTAAGACGCTTGGTATGTATGATTTATTTAAAGACAAAGAATTTCGGTAAAAGTTGGGTCACCCAGCGGCATTTGCGAAATCTTTAAAGATTTTAAATCCTGTTCTTCTTACGCAGCAAATTTAAAGACATAAATACCTTTAAATTATTTATGCCTACAGCCTGGCGCCCAACAATCGGCACAAAACAACAAAATTGTTCAAAATTGTTGTTTTTTAACTTATGCGCAAAAAATGGATTCTGTTAGTATTTTTCGTTGTTGTTATTGTTGGCCATTGTTAAGCATTTGCTGGAACACATCCAAGCAGCCTGATTAGAGATCATTAAATTGGAATGACATAAATATCAACTTTTCTAACGCCGTCAACGGCTGGCAAGCACAACAAACAAAATAATTTCGCTGTGTTTTCATTTAATTTGTCGCCATATGAATAGCCAAAAAGTATGTACCAACAACGGTATACATATGTGCATATGCTCAGTATACATACGTACGTGTATGTACATGTGCACTTAAGGCACTCATGCTATGTATATACACACATATGCATGTACATATGTATGTAAATGTATATAGACATGGCTGACAGCGACAAAAGAACATTTTCACACATACACATCAAAAGCTTGAAACACGGAAAAATTCTTGGCAATGACCATCGTTTGAGTTGAAATAGAAATAAAATATGTAGTCTCAAGAACGTATACCATGGTACACAATTCTATATATACATATGCATACATATATACATTTCATGCCCCAGGATTTCATCTAGGGGGCATGTTTTTTGCGGATTTGGTTGCAAATTATTTGTACTAGAGTAAAGTAACTTTAAATATATGAACAAATAGGTAAAAATAAAACACAAACCAATGGAAACGTGTTCATATAGTACAAATGTATTTTATTTTCATATCTAATAGGAACGATAAACAAAGAGCATAATGGGAGAATTTAAATTCTACATAGTGCCATACTATTTACGTTTTATACCTAAAATATAAATTCAAAATAGTAATCGTCTTTAATCAGCCTGGTCGGCTGGATAAATTTATACTGATCTTGGCGGACCCGTTTACGGTTACGAATAAGTATAATAAATACTTTGAAAAAAAAAAAAAAAAAAAACCGTGTAAAGCGAGTCAACATAAATGATATAGTTTGGATATAATCTTTTTATCGGTTATTGTTCCTATATGTTCGACGCACTGCATTAAGTCCAAACTGTTTGGGTTGAAGTAAACTTACAACCGGCAATATCAAAGGTGGAAATTCAGCTATAATTAATTAATAATATAAAAGCCGGCTTCATTGCGGTAGAATGAAGCTGAAAGGCAGATTGGGCATTGGCACTGGGTCAATGGATAACTTTTGCCCATTTCATGCATATGATTATTCTATAGTGGGTGAAAGGTCCCAGAACACCTCAATAGTTTTTTGGGGGAAATAGCACGCCTTACAAACTCTTTTAGGATATGCCAACCTCGTAGTATACATTTTAGGCTAACTTGGGAAAAGTTTTATTTGTTGTAATACTGTATGGATGTAACATGAAGGCATACACATGTTCATGTTGGCCGTGCTTAAAATGCCTCCTTGCAGTGTGTTTTTGCATGTTTATGCAAAATAAAATACATATATGTATGTACATATGTATATGCATATATGTACGTTTATATCTAAAAAATGTGTGTGTAATTGTCACCAACAGCTGCATAAAAATTGCGTATTCATATGCCGCTCAGTTTCCATTTTATTAGCAATTGTATGGCAAGTTTTTCTCTCCATTTTCATGTTTCACACAATTATTGTGGCTTGTGAAATGTTTTAATTTATTATTGTGTATGCATTTTTATGTATGTATGTATTTCACAGCAAACTTTCTCTGCAAGCCGAAAACTATGCAAAATCACTGCATTTCTGCGACGGCATCGCCCTGTTTTTAGTTCGTTCACACATACATACATACATGCATACATACATACATACATACATACATACATACATACATACATATGTATGTATATATAAGTACATATGAATTTACTATACATGAGTTGACGCAAAGCTTTTGGCACTCTGTTACCGAATTC